TGGATATTGCTAACCACAGTTTAGCACCTTTGTTTATTTCTTAGGAATTTATCTCCGAAGCTGACAAAGGTAAACTGTAAAATGTTATTCCTAGGTGGGCATTTGTAAATGGAAGAAGAACGACAAGTAACCTGCAGGGTTCCCAGCACACAGTTCTTGCTTGCTCACGATAATCAAATAGCTTTCCATACTTGCAGTGCTTTACCTTTTTTAAAGCCCTCACCTGATGATATGTTTATTGATTTTAGGGAGGGAGAAAGGGGGAAAGAGAAGCGTCGATTGGTTGCCTTCCGTACACACCCTGATCAGGGATGGAACCTGCAGCTCCTTGGTATATGGGACCTCGCTCCAATCAGCTGAGCAATCCAGCCAGAGCGAGTGCTTTTCCTTTCAATCGTACCTTGAGCCCATCGCAATTTGGTGTGACCTTTGACTAATGTTAATGAGGGTATTGAACAAGGTTAACTAGTTTCCTTAAATACCTCTTGCCCTTTCTCCCTTCCCAGCTTTCAGCTGAGATGGACGGGTCATTCCAGTTCTCTTCCTGGTGTCAGTGAAAATCAATTACCTTTCTCACGGTTGGCTCTTAGCCTCTTCCCTCACATCCCTCTTACCTCCAGCCCCCCAGAAGCACGTCCTACTCCTGTGCTCACCCATGCTTGTTCTCTCCCATAATTTGCTGGGAAATAAGCAGTTGTGGAATGTTAAGAGTGTGATCAGGGTGTGTTTCTAAGATATTTCAGCGTCGCCACAAGCCATCTCTTTTTTTCCTCCTGATGTTCTGAGAAGAGCAGGTCACGCACATTTTGTTGCAGTGCCCGGAGTTACCTGCTGGATTAAACCCTGACACAGTCTCTGTAACTAGAAGGGCAAGTGAAACTTTGCAGAAGCGAATGGTATCTACTGCTCTGAGGTCACAGTCTCAGAATACAGCAAATTGCAATATTATCGTAAGGTTCCAAAGTGATTCTTACAAATTGTTATGCTTGCACATTTGCTTTCTGAACAGGGAAAGTCTCCTCTTAGCAGTGAGATAATTCATGGTTTAGCTTTATTTCTTTTTAAAGTAGCTTGTCCTTCATTAATCTGACCTCTGTGGCAAGACTGTATTCATGTTAGGAGACGACTCCTCTCTTCTCTGAATATTTTGTGTTGTGTCATTGTTATTGCGATGATAGTGAGGTTGTCATCATAAAATAAGTCATTCATTCACAAGGGTCCAAAATACATGAAAGTATCTTTGGTCAGATTCTCTGTCCCACTCCTGTCCCCCCAGCTTATAGCCACTCAGTTCTTTGCCCCACAGACATCCACTGTATTCATGTTTTGCTTTTACTTCCAGATTTAGTTCATGCACATATAAATATATGTTCTTTTCCCCTTTTTAAACAGATGGTTGCAAATTGTATATACAGAGTGTTCTGCACCACACTGAACACTGTGTATTCAACTATACATACATGTTTTTACATATAAGTGTATAAAGAGGTTTCTTATACTTTTTTTATAGCAACAGAATATTCCATCTTATGGATGTTCAATAATTTATTTAAGTTCTTCCCCATAGATATAGATTTAGGCTTGCTGATAGTTTTGAAATGAAGGTTCTGGATAAGAGTGAATAAGTAGAATCCATGTTGACTTCATGCAGCTGAAATAAAGTCAGACACTGAGCATGGTCTTATATCATTTATGAGATTTTTCTGTGAAATGATAAAAATACTGCAGTGTTCCTTAGTGGAACATCTAGCTTTGCATAGGTAGTTTTGGCAGTCCTGGGATTATCAAGAAAAAAACCTTGTATACATTTTTAATGGATTATTTTGTAAGCTAGTAGGCCTCAAATATTGGAAAATAAGGGGTTACGTTCTAAAAGACTCTTCTGAGTCCAGCCACATGTATCTACATTCATGAGGCTGATAAAAGGACATAAAAAATTGGTACTCATCATTCAGAACAGGATTGGAAGAATTTCAGGGTAAGGAAGACTTTCTTGGTTCTTGTTTCACTTGGTCCACCTTTTCATTAGTTCTTGTTTAATACATACTTTGATGGGCTAGATTTGGGTGTGGAAGGAAGGCAGGATTATAACTTTCTTGACCCTATGGTAGCTGACACATTGTAGCTCATAAATATTTGTTTAATCAAGTGGAAAGCATAATCAAAGAATTTTAAAATAATGTAAAGACAGCCATAGAAATGTATTAATGTATACATTGTTACATAATGTATATATTAAAGTATTAATATGATAATGATGTTTGAACTAGCAGAACATTCGAAGACAAAAGTCCTAATTCAGGAAGGAATATGCTGTAAAGTTCAGTGTCTGCTGCTTTCTGAAGTATTATTTTGAACTGGAAAGCCTTACTTGTTCATAAACATAAATCGGGAAACACAAATATATGTGGTAGATGAATTCGGCCTGTGAGCAAAAGTGTTGAGTAACTAAGAAACACAGGCTGCCTTTGTGAGTCCGAAGATGAGAGCAGCCCCATCCCTTATGTATGGGGAAACAGGCCAAAGACTGTCTTCATTGCAACCTCTGGAGAACTCTGAGCCCTTGCAGACAAGAAAAATCACTTACTCCCACATTGGAACCTACTTGAAAGTTTCTTTACCTTTTGCTTGTTTGGGGTGTCTTTTTATTTATTTGATGATTTCTTTGACAAATAGGCTAAATGTTGATCGTGTTGACCTTAAATGGACAGCCAGATAGATCAGCATCAAAACAGGTTTATTCAGGACAACAAAGAATTGCAGCTTGGGTTATGTGGTCTAGGCACGCCACCAAAATTCATAAATAAAGGAGAGACACAGTCTTTTATGGAATTGGGAGGGGTTGTTATACGTGAAGAGTCCGCTGGAGATAACTGATAGTTCGAAGTATGGGGACTTCTCATTGGCTGAGCTGTTACTGGGCAAGGGGGAATCTTCCTCCCTCTGAGGTAGTACAATAATACTACGTTCTGTCAGAGATTGGAGGTATGTCTCTTCCTTTTGGGGTCTCTTTCTACTGGGATCAGCAGTGCATATTGAATGACACTTGCAAGAGAGTTCTCTCTTCTAACCTCCCTTCTAAATGAGGTTTTTGTTTGTCCTGGCTTTGTAGCTCAGCTGTTTAGAGCATTGTCCAGATACACCAAGACTGTGTGTTCGTGCCCTGGTCAGGGCACTACAAGAACCAACCAATGAGTCCATAAAGAAGTGGAACAACAAATCGATGTTTCTCCCTTTTTCTTTCCCTGCCCCCTACCTTTCCTCTCTCTTGAATCAATTGAAATTTTATTTATTTTTAAAGAGAGGGGAAGGGAGGAAGGGAAACATCGATGTGTGAGAGAAACATCCGTTGCCTCTCACAGACCCCCAACTGGGGACCTGCCTGCAACCTAAGTAAGCATGTACCCTGACCAGGAATCAGACCAGTAACCTTTCACTTTGTATGATGATGCTCACCCCACTGAGCCATGCTGGGCAGGGCCAATAAAAGATGTAAATGAGGTTTCTGTTTATTAATTTTTACAACTAAGTCATATGAGACAGAAATGATTTCTGGTCATTCAGCCATGTTGAAAAATAATCCCTATAAACATGGTTGCATTTATTTAGCTTATGTATTTTTTAAATTATAGGAGAATTAAGCAAACAGTAAGTTAAGATTGATAATCACAGTAGTTGCTTTCTCTGAGAACAAATCAAAAGTTCAAGGTGACTAATGGCGATGATAATGTGTGTATCAGAATCTGCATTCAGTGCCCACTTCAGCAACAGATATATTAGAAGCTGCATTCAGCGTGTTTGGGGCACTTTATATGCATCATTATATTGGTTTAACACAAAATTGGGAGTCTACATTTATCAAATAACAGCATTTTCACAGAATCTACTTTAGGATGAGAACTAGGAGGTTGGGAGCCAATATAGCTGTAACTAACATCCAAGTTAACATAGTTAGGACCATGGTGTATTTGCTAACATTTAGCTGTATGAAGTTACATGTTTTGAGGCGATATTATTAAAAATTCATCAGGTGTGTGATGATCTGGATGTGGAAAGGTTCTACTGTGTGATTTTCATCTTGGTTGTCAGGGAAGAAACCAAAGCAAAGCAAGATTAAGTGGGCAGAGCCAGTTAGTCACTCTCTGTAAGCAGAACCCTTATCTTTTGATTCTTGGTTCAAGAGCATATCTTCTCTCAAAGTGTGTCCTTAAAGAACTATTGATTCGGGGTAGAATAGTTTCTTGTTTTCACTAGTTTTCTGAGTTCCAAATTCATTCTCTTAGTATGAAGGGCTCCTTAAAACTTCAGCTAATATTATACCCAGATCTTTTTCAGGGTCTCAGCTGTGATGCTGATTTATCACAGAGCATTATGATGATTATGAAACAGGAGGTAGACAAATCCCTGCTAAAAGGGCAGTACTACATCAGTGACTTTTGTGTGATGTAGCAAAAGTCTGTAGGCCACAAACTGAGTTCAAAAGAAGTAACTCCAATCCAACTTATAAGAGAACGTGTTCCCTAGAGATATTGTGTCTTCCGTGTCCACTGCTTATAATTAGTGTTAGAGTCTTACTGTTTCTTTTTAACAGTCATGTTTAACTTTCATTAAAGGTTGATCTTTGCTTGGTGTTGGATGAACAATGTCTTGGTGGCTTAAATGTGTGCCCTTGCACCTCCCCCACCCGCCCCCCCAGCTTAGCCACATTTCTTTAATTTCAAAGCCATAAAGGAAGAGACTTGTTCTTAGGTTACTTCCTTCTTCCATTTTCCGTGGGAAGTATCTCTCTTTTTAAAACCTCCACTTTATTTGAATCCCTTGTACTCTTGCTGTTTTGTATTTCATGTATTTGTATCTGTCCTAAGGCTTTTGTTGGTTTTATGTTTAATATCCAGGAGAATGTTTTCCTCAATCTCAGGGATGCCTGGTATTTTCCTATTTTCTTCAGTGCCTTTTTGGTTAAACCTATTTGTACTTGTCATCTTGGCTTTTCAATGCAGGTCTGCAGTCTCCTGCTCCAGAGTTTATTGTTGATGTTGAGTCCATGGATATCTTCCCAGTGGGCTGGTGTGAAGCGAATTCTTACCCTCTGACCACACCACACAAAACAGTCTGTAAGTATCACCTAGTTTGGAGCCAGGAAGGGTAACCTCTGGGGTTGGGTGAAAAAATAGGCAGTTTTATAAAGATACTATATCCAAGCTGTAAAATGGAAAAGGTTTTAGATTTCCTGCAGAGCACTAGTTTTTTTAATCTCATCTATCCTTTAAGTGTCTTCGTGAGATGAATATTTCACAGGTTAACAAACTAAGTAACAATGGTGTGACAATTGAACGTCATACAGAGGCAAAGATAATATCTGGAATTTTTACTGTTTTGTATATAATTCATTACTTTGATTTAAAACTTAAACTAAATTCTATGTTTTTGTATTATCTCATGAGAGAAAGGACTAGTTTTCCTCATGAGGTTTACTCCAAAAGAGTCATAATTGGTGGCATAGATATTAACAGTCACTCACTCTTCATACTAACTAGTGAGATTTCAACTGCACTTTGAAAAGGGAGATTACATCACATCCTTCGATAACAAAAATACCAACTTAAAACAATATTAGTGGGAAGAAAAATATTAGAGGTTAAACAAACCAATATCCCACGCACTTAAATATATACAATAGTGTGCTTTAACATACATTTTATAGGTCATTATCTTGAAAGGGTACCATTTAAAAATCTTCAAACATAATAAATCTTGGCATTAATTATTCCACCATAGGTGTATCAAAAATATTATTAAAGTTTTGGGTCTTTAAATACAAGGGGCTTTAATTTTTTATGAAATAGATTATTTTCTCATATATTTTTAAATTTTTTTTATCATCACCCGAGAACATTTTCTGATTGCTTGGAGAGAGAGAAAGAGAAAGAACGAAGGAGAGACAGAGAGAGACATCAATGTGAGAAAAACATTGATTGGTTGCCCTCTCATATGTCCTTGGCCAGGGATTGAATTCACAACCTGCGTATATGCTCTGACTGGGAATTGAACTCAGGACATTTCAGTCTACAGGATGATGCTCCAACCAACTGAGCCACACTCGCGAGGGCTATTTTTCTTGTAATTTATATGCTAGCTTTACTTCTTTCTAGCAGTATACTGGAGTGTATACTAAATGTACTATTTAGTACCCTTACGTAGAATCTCAGAACATTGCTATGAAGAAAGTTCCATCTTATGGTTAACCTTTCATTTCCTGATGTCAGCATATCCAGTATTCAGCAAGAGTGAAGTGGGACATTGTGTGAAATAAAGAAGGTAGCTCTGATTGTGGACAAAGGTGGATTTTAAGGGATTCTTCTCTCACAAGTATCATACTGCTCAATGAGTCTGATCCAGTGAAAATATTATCTTCCCCTCACTTTAAAATATTTTTAAAATCATGATCTCAGGATAATTATTTGAATCTCAAGGCATTCTTTTTTTTTTTTTTCTCTCTAAGTCTAAACCCACCAAACTCTTGACAGCTTTAGAAATTTTGTTGGTATTAATTTATGCTTATGTTGGAAGATTCAGGAATATCTGTGCCAAAATTAATAGATGCCAAAAGCTCTGGTCTGTCTTTGTTAAAGGTGGTTCTAATCGGTTATAAATATGAACTGGAAATGTTCTTTTCCAGAAAATTATCATCGACTGCTTTATGTTAATATTTGACAGATGTATTTGCTAGGCACCAATCCTCCTTTCAATAATAAAACATTTTAGTTTAAAAACATGCTTCTAATCCTAATTTGGGAATAGCTGTTATGGTAATGTTATTTGACTTATCACACTTTCTTTGGTAAAAATGTCATCTGGATAATTTTGCTTGCAACAATTTATCTTATCAGGTGTGTTCATGTGAGGTATGATATGTGTGCTATTTTTCTTTTGTATTACAATCACATTTTAAAATGAAGTAGACAGTGTGTAGTGATAAGATTAAACACTTAATTCTATTTAGACCTCATTTCTGATAAATCCAAGTCTATTTTATGATAGAAAAAATTAAGATAAAATTGTGGCATGAATGAAATAACTTTCCATATTTAAATTGTTACTTAAAACTGACAGTTTTACACCAAGCCATTTTTAAAAATGCTTTTGCCCAACTAGCTAGTCACATTGATTTTCTTTTTTCTCCCTTCCTTCCTTCCTTCCTTCCTTCCTTCTTTTTTTTTTTTTTGCCTGTTTTACAGCACAAAAGAAGAGAAAGATTGCAGTTGTGCAACCAGAAAAACAGTAAGTTTTTCTTTTCCTTTTTTGTTGTTGTTCAGTTTTCAAAAGCTATGTAATAACCTATGTCTTTATAGAGGATGGGAAGCATGGCTGTTGTTAGAAAGTTACCACATAGCACAGTACTGAAGATGATAGTAAAATATACCTACTCTGATTTATTGTGCACGTATTTGGTGCAAGACACACAGGGCCTTCTCCTAAAGGGACTCCTATTCCAGATTGTAACTTCTCACTTTGATCCCAGGTCCGTGTGCCCGAAGCACATCCCAGCCTCACACAGTCCCAGTAGTGGCTCTCTGTGATAGCAGTTCTGCCCGAGAGGCTGGGCTGCCCCGCCCAGCGTGCTCCCCACCGCTGGTCCTGGCCAGGCCTGGTGTGCGGAGACTTCCAGCTGCGCGACCTTCGGCAAGCTGGTTTAGTTTTTTACCATCTCAGTGCCCTCATTTGTAAAATACCTATTTCTTGGGGTTTTTAGGAAAGCTAAATTAGATTCATGTGTAAAATGTGTAGGCCCTACCTTGTTGAATAAATATAGATTATCCCACGTTTCAATTGTATTGTAATTTTATGAGGAAGGAGGGTGTTTAGGCTGCATGAGTAGATGCCAGCAGTATGTTTTTGGAAACTTGTAACTGTGGGTAGTATTTTTATATATTGGAAAGTATCTGAAATATACCAAAATGCATGTCCCTTGCCAAGCCTTTCTGTTTTCTTAATATACTGATGGAAATGAAATTAAAAACAGCATTTTTTCATGTAACCAAATTTAAATAAAATGAAATCGAATAATAACTGCATTGCTATTGGAATGTGAATAACAGTTTTGTGGGTATTTCTTGCACATTCATTTCTAAACAGTGTATCCAGTTAACAATCTGATTCCAAGTTCATCTGGATAACATTGGAATAAAGAATAAATAGTAAAGTAATTTCAGCATTGAATCCGAATTTGAATCCATAACTCCTAAATTTGTAGCCTGTGGATCAGTCATCTAGACCACTTGTCAAACACAGATTGCCAAGCTCCGGTCTCCAAAACGTCTGAGTCAGCGTGTCTGGAGTGGAGCCTGAGCGTCTGCTTGTCTAACACGTTCCCCAGATTTGAGAGCCAGTGTTGTAGATGACCCAACTAATAGCTCTCGTAGTGGTTTACTATGACTTTATGTGGCTTTTCAACTCTGATTTCTGCCCAACCAACTGGGAGAGCCTTGTGAAACCCATTCTACCTTTTTTTCCCCCTGAGGCTCCTTTTTAAATATTTATTTAGCAACTATTTACTGAACTATAATGTAGACTTTTGTCCTAGAATACTCCTACTTCACATTTTAAGAATCATCAGTTCATAGGTTTTTTTCAAAGGCCTTGTTTTCAGAGTGACCATGATCTATGGAAACGTGGTCTTCGGAAATCAAAGGTCACCAGAAAGTGGTTTTCATTTAGACATTAAAGAGAAATCTGACTATAATTAAAGTCAATATAAATTGATGTTTCTTCATGTCTAAAATATAATTAAAGATATTATTATAATTCTATAACAAGAGACCAGTCCATGACCTACAAGGACCTTATTGATTAGTGATGGCCGCTCGAGGGTCAGGTATCTTAGTGTTATTGCAAGAATTGAGAACAACCTCTTTAAATGATCTTTTTATGTGTTCTTACTGATGTTGCTCCTAGATGCATACATCCTATCTTACTAGACTGTTGGCTTAAATTTCTCTAATAGTCATTTTACATTATAAAAAGACTTTGTAATGTAATGGTTTCTTCTAAAAAGAGTTTTATTTTCTTTATCAATAGATTGCCATCCACAGTGCCTGTTGAGAAAATACCTCATGACCTTTGTTTATTCCCTTCCCTGGAAACCACAGGTAAATGAGCCTATGTAGGGCTCTCTGTCTCTTCCCAGTTTGTTGCTCTGAGTGGAGATATGCACATAATTTTAGGTCAATATGAGACTATCTCAGCTTTGAGTTTGTTCTCTTTTACTCTGTTACTACTTATGAATGGATACCTACACTTTAAAAAAAAGGGGTTTTCGAAGCTAAATTCTGCCTCTTCTTTTCTGCTTCTTAGTCAGTAGCTCTAGACAGTTCTCTTGGTCTGCAGGAAAAGGGTCCATGTACTACTAAGAAATTCTAAGCCCAATTTAAGTCTGTGTATTGTGGAAAAAAGAAGTTGAAAATAATCATTATTAGGCATTCCTTTTTTGATATTTTATGCCAGTTCCACTTGCATTTTTATAATAGTGGTTAATACTTAAGTCCCTGTGGGCTTTAGAATTGTTCCTTAAGACCTTCTGTGTTTGAATAACTGGTTGTGAATAATATGTTTTTTAATATATAAAGTCCTGCATCTTGCAGTAATCTTTTAAAACACAAAAGGGAATTACCCTTTGACCACAAATCTGATTATAGACAAGTTGGTACATTAACCAATATATTTGATTAAGAATTCTATTTTCTTGTCAAAATGAAACCTGCTCTGAATTCTGGGGTTAAAACCTATATGCTATGGAAAAAAAATCTATTGTTTGAAGTTATCATCGTTGCAAAGACAGCAGTTCTATGAGTAGGCCTACTAAAATTGCTTTTTCTAAGGGTCTGGGCAGAGTAATCCTACCAAAAATTTCCATGTAAATGCATTCGTGGACTTAATTTTTTCCCTCGTTATATAGAATTCAGACTTCAAAATGGTTTTAAAAGAGCCATGTCTGCTACTCTTTCAGAGTCCATAATTATTTTACCGCTTTTGTCTTATATCCAAAAAATCGCATTTCTCCCCTTTTTACCTGCTGGTTTTTAATTGAAGTTCTATGAGAACAAAACTTCTTGGACTGTAAACTTGCCATCTTAATTGTAACAGTTTTTATAAAGAAAGACCACAGTGAGTATAACGTAGCTTGGCGCAGCAGTGGGAGAGCATGCATCTCTCAGTTGGAAGGGAAGCCTCATTCTGTGTTTGTAGGCACTGAGGAGCCTCAGAGCGGTATCTTATCATTTAGTTATTCTCCTTTTTTCCCATGGCAGCTCTAGAAACAGCTAGACCAACAACTTGCCCTGTTCACTTTCTAAGTTGAAAGAATAATGAGAGAAATGCAAATTTAAGCCAGTGTTAGGAACATTTCACATCCATCAGACTGGCAAAATGAAGAAGCCCGATACCTAGTGTTGGCCTTGACGTGGGAGACCAGGAACTCTTATGCAGTGCTTACATGGGTATCAATTTGTGTAGTCATTGGGAAAACAATTTGGCCATATCTAGTAAAACTAAAGATATGCAGGCCCAATGGCTACATATCTTTACTCCTTCTGGTATACTCAGGAGACCCATAAGCAGAAGTAGATCTTTACAGTTCTGTTCATTAAAACACTCTTGGTAACATTGGGAAAATAGAAGCAACTTAATGTCCATCAAGAGGAGAATGGAAACCTTCACTATAATATATTCCTACAATGAAATAATACACAGAAGTGAAAAATGAATGAATGTTTGGAATAATCATTTACCAACTTGGATGGATCACAGAAACTTCATATTGAACAAACAGAATGTTGCTGAAAACCATTTATGGAATATTCAAATTTTATATATTGCTTGCCGTTACACACATACATGTATCTGTGTGTGGTAGAATTTACAGAATGATGAATACCAGTGCTTAGTAGTGGTTGCCTCTGGGAGGGGTTTCTCAGGTTGAACACATGGGAACTTAGCTGTGTGTATTTTTCCCCCCTTTGGCCTCATCCTAATACCTTAGTTATCATTGCCTTATTTTTTGCATTTTTTGTGTCTTACATATTGCACAATAAACAAATTTTATTGTATGTGGTAGAAAAATAATCAGAATTTCTAAGATATTATCGTGTCTATAAAATGTTCTGATGTTAAGACACCATGTGCCTCTTTGAAGTTTTGCCAACTAAGTGGATGAAGCAAGCATGTTGTTGGTTCCTAAAGCATCAGCTGTGTTGCTCTTCCCCACAGGTACTGTCAACGGGAAATACTGCTGTCCTCAGCTTTTCATCAATCACAGGTGTTTCTCAGGCCCTTACCTAAACAAGGGGAGAATCGCAGAGCTACCTCAGTCCGTGGGACCAGGCAAATGCGTGCTGGTTCTTAAAGAGGTAAGCTGCAGTCAGGATGTCATTTGGCTTATTCTCACAGGGTATAAGCCTCATTCCCACAATTTCTGAAGGAGAAAATAGAAATGTGAATCAATTCAGGTGACATTTACCAAGCACCCCCTGTCTCTCAATCCTGTGGGCTGGAAGATGGTCATATGAAGATGGAAAATGATGTTTGTGCCCATGAAAGGCCCCCGGTCAAGTGGGAGGGATGTACATACAATCCTCTGAGCCAGGGGAAACGTTGCAGTAGATTTGAACAAAGAGCCTCAGGAAGAAAGACGAAGGATCAGTAGTGTGTGGAGTGAAGGTTTAGAGCTGGCGAGTGAAGGTTTCCCTGAAGAGGTAAGGAAGTGGGAGCAGTATGAATGAAGCACAGTGCCTGCCTGTAGGTGGTGCGTGAAGAGTACTCCCATGGTCCCCTGGCACTGGGTGAAGTTTGTGTTCTGGCGGCATCGAGGCGAAGCCTAGCCTGCTCATCACTGTGATGGTATCATTCCCCATTTCTCTCCCCGCCTTTGGGAAACAACCTCCAGACAGAGATGAATCCTAATCATGCTGATGGGGGATTTCCTCTGTTCCATTTTTATAGTTTAGCCCCGGATGGTGTTTGGAGACAGGTAAGAATTTTGGAACCATTTCCAAGCTGCTCTTGAACTCTCTGTTTTTTTCACACACATCAGTACTTTTTCTCAAGAAAAAGGATACCACATGCTATCTTCTCTGTTGCTCCTGGACTACGATGAATGTATTTGAATTCCTTGGGCATGACAATTCCTTTATCCATTAAACAGTGGTTTGTCAGGCAACTTTGAGGAGCCAGGCACTGCATGCCGCAGTAGGTCAGAAAGTCCTCTGTCCCCTGCTTGTCTGGGTTTCATGTTCCTGTTGGACAGATGACAAGATTCTGAGCTTGATGTACATTAGGGTGAACACACAGTAGAGACAGGAGCAAAGTGCTGTGGGAGCACAGGGGAGGAAGTGACAAATATATCACAAGTGACACTTGTTCTGGCTTAGACAGAGTAAGTATAGAGCCTTGAACCACAGCATGGATAGGACCACACAGGTGGAAGTTCAAGGTGGTATCTGGGAAGCAGGTGGTCATGTATGGCTGGAGAATAGGATAGGTCCTTAGGCTGGGGACACTTCATAGGTATAAAAGAGTGTTATATTTAGAAAAGGAAAAAATCCCATCTTTCAGGGGTACCTCTGAAAGGATGCAGTGATATGGGTAAATGGTAGGGCCACCGGTTAACTCCAACTCTATAAATGGGCACTGATGTAGATCCCTACAGAGGCTAGACTTGATCAAAGAACTCAAACTAGGATTACCTTTAAGAATTTCTGTCACAATATAAATTAAAACCCCTAGACCGAGAACTGATTCTTGGGTCTTCCAGTGCTTTCAGGCTGAGGGCATTTTTGCTACAACAATGTTGTCTGCCTGAATTTGGGCTTGTTTTGTTGTAAGTGATCAGAACACGGAAGCTGATAAAAAACGGAGAACCGACAGATTCTTTGAAACTGCCTGCAAGACCCTTTTACGTTGCACATCCCAGTCACCTGCTGGCTCTTAACAAACAAGATGACCTTAGGTTCCAGCTCTCTTTAAAGTTGGTATTTTACTACATCATTTTTTTAGTCAAAAGTAGTTATCCCTGATCAATTCTCCGATAGGTGTAAGCAGGCAGATTTAAAAGCCAGGTCAGAGCAGTTTTCTGATGACAAAACTAGTTTTTTGCTGATGTTCAGAAAATGCATGAGGCAGGAAGGAGGGGCGGGGGGAAAGAAAGCAAGCACTTCAGTTCTGGGAGAGCAAGAAAAATGTAAGTTCCGCCAAGCCAATATTTATGCTAATGCTCTCCCTTCAGCACCAGAACCTCTGTATGGTTTCAAATTTCATTTTGCTTCAAGAGAATGAGGTAATTGGAGCAAAGACAGAGTGTGTTTGCAGTTACAGGTTTTTATGTCTTTGGAAAATGTAAACTCCGTCCAGTCTGCTAGAAATAGATAACGTCTGTGTGTTCGGATGCAGAACCGGCCTGTGGAGAGCTTAGTGCAGGTTGAGAAGAGGGATCCTGAACCCCGAGAGGGCAGTGGTGTTCCAGAGAGCAGTTTCTGGCAAAAGTGATTTTTAATTTTTTTGGCAAAAGTGATTATTAATGTGTGTCCTTATTCACCTGGTCAATGAGCATGCTGAGTGTTCGACTTGAGTGAGGTTTTGAGGGTCTAAGAACTGTGACTGGCCTCGGTCCCAGCAAGGCTGCAGCCGGGGGAGGAAGGTGGCCTCTGAGGAGCCGGAGCCAGAGCCAGTAGATGGCCCATTCAAGTTCAGTCACCTCATGCAAGGAAACTCAGAGCAAGCAGGGCTGGGGGTGGGGTGGGGTGGGGCACGGCTTGTGAGCCTGTTGATGCTCCCTTGGTGTCTGGGGCATTTTTATGGGACTTGGGGCCCCTGTTGCATGGAGGGTAGGACCTGTGAGTACAGGCAGTAAGTGGTGGTGGTTATTATAACTCAAATCCGTATGCGCAGTATGATCATTGTCAACCAGGACTGTCCTTCTCTATCTGAAACGCTTCCACCTGCATGCCTCCCCCAGTAATACCAAGCTCTCCCAAATATATACACAGACCACGTATCTCCATGGACCCTTGACAGGCTTGTGAGGTTTTGGTATCACAACCCTGCCACACCTCAGACTGTTAGCGTCATTCTTTTTGGCCATTCACAAAGGTGTCGGGAAAGTCCTACTTTATGCTTTATATGCAGTCTCCTTAATCGCCAGATCTGTGATACTTACTTTATATACAGTGAAATAAGGCAGGTGTTGTGTGCTTATGTCCATGTGTGAAAGAGATGTTAAATGAGCGAGCCAGCCTGAGTACAATAGAAAAAGAGCGGAACATCTAATATATCGATATTGTGTTCTGCCATGAAAAGTCCATCTTCTGTTAGACTCACGATCAAATGGGAGAACTCCAACCAAATCCTGCTGGCAGAAGCGACTCTTGAAAACACCAGCTCAGGGAGAATGGTAGAGTCTCTGCTTTTATGGAGACTCTGAAGGCCATGGGCGTTAAGGCGGCATACCAGGGTAACGTCCCTGGTGGATTCGCGATTAGGGGAGCATCCATGATTTTTCTTAAGTGTTATGTGGTTTAAGTTATTTGCCAATATGTAACCTCTGTTTTTAGCAAAAAAAGAGAAACCTGCTATTTCTAGGGGTTGGGGAGAATCTCTAGGAGTCCCTGTTCACATGTCGCTGATCACCTTTTGGTGTGTGAAGCTGGTAGTTGCTGTGGAATGTGGTGGTTCAGCAGCAGAAATGCCCTGTGTTGTACCTGCTGCTTTTTGACATGATGGGTTGGTCGTTTAATGGATGACCTTTTTCAGAGGGAAAATAGACAGTTACATACTTTCTATGAAAACGTAAAACGATGGCACCTGATATTCTCCTCCCTGTTTTCTTCCTTCTGATGCCTAAAGGAAGCTTTCAGAGAAAGCAACATGAATCTGGAACACTCAGGAAGCTTTCTGAAGTGCTAAGCTTCTGTGCCTCATTCTTTCCCCGCACAGAACTCTCTGCCTCACTTAGCTGAGAGTGCCCGAGATGCTGATTTTGAGACCTGTGAGCTCAAGCTAACTTCGGGATCAGCCTGTCTATTCCTGGAGAGAGAGAGAGAGAGAGAAACACTATATATTATATTCTATATATTATATAATTATATTCTATATACTATACTATCCTATATATTATACATAGAATGTAATAATCTTTTATATTCCATATAATAGAATAGAGCAATGAGATAAACTAAAGAATTGGAAGTTCTGCTTGCCAAGGCAGAAATGTTGTTACTGACAGGCAAAATACAGATACTCCTGCGTGCACCCACACAGTCCCACCTCACCCCGCCCACCTACCTATCTATCCTTCCATCTTTCTATCATCTGTCCACCCATATCTATCCATCATCTTTCTATCTTTCATTCTATCATGTATCCATCCATTCATCATCTATGTGTCCTTTATCCTATCTATATGTCATACCTAAAAGAGTCACTTTGGTACTCTTCATCATAGCCTAGTGAAGGGATGCAGTGGTTTAGACATAACCAATTAAAAGAATAGATTATAATAAGTTTAACTTTGCAGAAATGATTAGAGCCATGCGCACAGGTTTGATGACGTAGAGTCTGGGGTAGCGAGCTGGGTTGCCACCAGGGCACGTAAGAACCATAAGGAGACTGGAGTGTTCACCTGTATTGATAAAAATTTATATCCCCCTCAATCTGCTTCTGTGGCCTCAGAAAGTGCAGAAGTAATGATGTGGGGACTGCACAGTGCCACTGTGGTCCATGTATATTTCTTTTCATCTATTCACAATCTTTGCAGGGTCTTTTGGATATCAAGATGTTCAGTACTTCAACATTCAGCATTTGTTTACTGAGCATCTGCCACTGCACAGACCCTGCTGCCCGTGGGTACACAGCAGTGAATAAGACATCGGCCATCCATTCATTCCTTCCGTCCCTGAACAATTCATGAGTCATAACCATGTACCATGTGGGCACTTGTGCTAAACGCTGCGGGGTTGTGGTGAACAAGAGATGTGGGCACTTCCTCAGGGAATTGGCAGAACCTCTGCAGACAGGAGGGACTCTTGTCCTCTCTTCTTAACTCTAAGCCTGCTTCATTGTAACAAGCCCACACAAGTACAACTACAGCGGCAGAGTCTGTGCCTGACTATGTTAGAATAATGCCCCAGTTCTATGTTATCTGGGCTCAGCGGGAGCAGTAGATGTGGCGGTTTTTAAACCTGGAACCCAGTGCTGTGTATTGTTTTGACGGTAAGTAAAAGGTGAAAAGGTGACTTTTACAGAGGTCTCCCTTCCAGTCTTTCTTTCACTAGGCTTCATGTGCTCTGTGCGGCTCAGGGCCCAGAGTCACAATCCTTTTTTTTTAACTGGCTAATAAGAAGGGAGGAAATTTGCC